GGGAGAAGAAAAGAAAAGAAAAAAAAGGGAGAAATAAAACGAAGAAAAGAGGCAGACCGTCGAATTCGCGAGGAGACCTCGCGTGGCACGCGATTTCCGTCTGATCGAACGACTTCCGCGTGGAACCACGCGAGGCCCCCGTTCAACGCTTCCGGACGAAATAAATAAGATATAGGGTTGCACGCATCAATACTTTACAAAAGAGAGAAAGTGAAAAGAAAGAGAAAGAAAAAGGGCGGGGGGAAATATGGATTCGTCACGCGTCCACGTGTATCGTCGTGACACGCAAGCTGTCGCGTAGCCGTGGATGAAAGTTCGCCGGTCTAAGTACAATTAAATACACATTGGATTAGCGCTACGATTAGAGGAGGAAGTGGTATCACTGTGTCAGCTAGGCGACTCGCGAGGCGAACCAGCGTGATTGGAAACACGAACGATACCGAACGGAACCGATGCTCGATCGTTTGCCCGTGGAATTCGCGCGGTCGCGTCCCTTTCGATCGAGTCGCAATCGTTTTCGAATCGTTCACGGTCACCGATTTACGAGCACGAAACGACCACTCCTTCGATCACTTTTTCGCGATCGTTCGAATTATTATCGTTCGGTTCCGCGAGGTTCGAGCGCGTTCTTCGACAACGGGCACGGGGGGTTCGGGGGGGTTATGTATGCGCGTTCGCCCCGTTTGGACATTCGCGTTTCTGGTATTCGCTCGTACGATATGGCCCGCAGGGTGTTATTAAAGGTAAAATTCACATGGCACACCGTGAGCGTGGCTCCCTCTGTGCCGCGATCGGTGTGCACCGGTTGGTACACACGACGACGCTACGCGAGAGTATCTCTCGTCCGACGAGATCTTTCACGCACTGTTAACCCTAAATTAACCGTGAGCTTGATCAACCGGGGAACAGTCTTGGTAGACGCTGGTAGACGGGAACGGCAACGTATTTACAACGACTTTAAGCTATCTAGCAAACTCACTGACTCGCTGCAATGTACAGACACCGGGACGCTGAGTCTCGTATATCCTCGTAATCACGAAGGAAGCACCTTAAATATTATAATCACTCTCTCGCACTCTCTCTCTCTCTCTCTCTCTCGCGCGCGCGTTCTCTCTCTCTCTCTCTCTCTCTCTCTCTGTCTCTCTCTCGCTCTGCCCCTTTCTCCTGTTCTCCTTATCGCGTTTACTCTCTATTTACAACGACACACACCGTTTCTCTTCTGGTCCATCCGACAGACACTGTATATAGCACTTCCGTTACGTCGTTTCTCGTTTGCTCCGCTCGAGAAAGGGGAAAAATGGATAAAAAATGAAAGAAAAGAAGAGAAAGAAACATTTATACATACATGGAAATCCTCGAAGTATTTACACTCTACACGCATAACCTATGCCACCGTATTGCACCGTAGGGAAACGCACCGTGACGCCGCGCCGTGCCAAAGTCGCGCACCGGATCTCTCTTTCCTTCTCTATTTCTTTGCTCGCGCGTCCCGTTTCGATTCGCGGCGACGCCCACCACTCCCACAGTTCACCGGAAGAAAAGCGTATACGAGCGTGCCTATGCACGCGTATGCACATACTCGCGCCTGCACACTCTCACACAAACACGCACGCACGCACGCACACAGATACACACGCACTCGCGCGCGCGCGTACACTAGCAGACACGAACACTAGTAGACGGAGAACGAAAGCACGGAGAGTTCATATGTGCACGGAGACGGTACGCGATCCGTTGGACGTCCTGTTGTTGTGCTGCCGTCGGACCGGCGGCGGCTGCCTCGTCCTCTGCGTGGTCCTCTGATTGTTCGGCACGTCCGGCAACGCGAACCGAAGCTTCTCCCAGAACAGCTTGTCGCCCCATTGCAAGTAGGTGTTCGTCTTGAGGTACAGCCTAATGTCTGGGTCGAGGTCCCGCTGATGAACGTCGCCCACCAGCACCAGGATCAGTCTGCGTCTTCGATCGCGCAACACCTGATGGTGCGCCGACTTGAAGTCGAAGCGGCACCACTCTGACTTGATGAAATTCTCCGACAGTACCATTATAGTTCTCCTCGAGGATTCCACCGCTTGGACTATCGTGTCGGCTATGAAGCTGCCGACGGGAAAGTCCCGGTAGTGCAGGCACAGCTTGTAGGAAGGGTTGCCCATCTCGAGGACAGGCGCCAGTTCCTCGGCGACGAACGCCTCGTCCTTGGAACTGTAGCTGACGAACGCGTCGAACAGTTTGTCCCGATCGTCCCGATCCACCTCGTGGTTTCTGTAGAATATCCTCACGCCGAACCGCGAGTGAAACCATACGCGCAGCTCCTGACGGAACACGAACCCCAGCATACAGAGGAGCACCACCAACAGGGAGCCGACCAGCGTGGCGACCAACAGCGGAAGGTAGTCCTGTAACACCTGTTTCTCGATGATGGTCTTGGTGTAATTACGGTGCACGTCGTTGTCGATGCTGGCCGCGCCCGTGCACACGCTGTCGTTGCTCTTCTCGCGGTCGTTGCTCGCCACGAGGAAACCGAACTCGTTGTCCGCGAACACCTCGTCGCCGAACGCCTCGAACTCCGTCACGTTGTACACGCAGCGCAACGCCGACGCGTCCGTCACGCGCACGTTCGGCTCGCGGATCCACTCGCGGTAACTTTGCAGATAGTCGCACTCGCAGGACCACGGATTCCCGGACAAACTGATCTCGATGGAACCGGGTAGCGTCCACACGGCCAACGTGGTCAGGCGATTGCTCTCCAGTCGTAGGACGCGCAACGACCGAAGGGACGAGAAGGTGTCGTTGCCGATCGAGACGATACGATTTCGATGCAGATAGAGAAGCTTGAGCGCGTCCAAGCCCTCGAACTCGTGCCCCTTCAACTCGCGAATCCTGTTATCCTGCAGGTGTAGATCCTCCAGGTCCCTGAGGCCGTTGAACGATCGGTTCTGCACGATGTCGATGTTGGAGGAATTGAGAAAGAGGACTTTCAGCTTCTTACGACCGATGAAAGCGTGACTGGACACGACGCGCAGGTCGTTCCCGTCCAGATAGAGCCGCGTCGCGTCCATGGGTATCTGCTCGGGCAACTTGTTGGCGTGAGCGCCGTTGGAACAGTCGACCACGTTGGCCGACCAGGATTGATCGTGGTAACACGTGCAGTTCAGAGGGCACGTCATCTCGCAGTCGCAGGCGTCAAAGTCGCAACAGTGACAGAGGGCGAAGCAATGGGTGTCGTACTTGCAGAGGAACTGCGAGTGAGACGCCTCGACTAGCGGGACGAAGGCGTGTTCGCGATCGTATAGGAGCTTGCAGTAGATACTCTCCAGGTCCATGACGCGCGGTTGCACTCGGGTCTGATTCTGTCGGTTGACGCGCTGCAACCATTCCATGGTGCAGTCGCACAGGTACTGATTGTCCCCTATGTAGAACTCGGGCAGAGATTTTTCCGGTGGCACGGCGCTGATACGCAACGCGTACGGCTCCAGGTTGCGTATCTGGTTCCCCTTCAGCTCGACCGTGGTCAGGTTGGGTTTCTTGAAGAACGAATAGCTCTGCACCTTGGATATCTGGTTGTCGTTTAGGTAGAGCCTCTCGACGCTCATCGGTATCGCGTTGCCGGTGATCTCGGTGAGCTTGTTCTCGCTGGCGTCGAAGATGCTCAGCTGTAACTGGCTCTCGATCTCGAAGTAGTTGCCCAGTTCGCGTATCTCGTTCGAGTGGATGTCGAGCCATTTCAGTCCGGTCGGTATCATCGCGTAGTCGAACCATCTGAGTTTGTTGTCGCTCACGTTGAGCCAGATGAGATTGGGCAGATTGGTGAAGAGGCCGGCGATGTCCGTGAGTTGATTGCCGTCCAGACGGATCGCTTGCAGATTCAGGTTCTCGTCGAAGGTGCCGGGTTCGATGTACTGTATACGATTCATCGCGAGATTCAATATCTTTAGCTCCTTGATACGATCGAAGACACCCTTGGTGAGATTGCCGATATGATTTTCGGTTAATCGAAGTCCGTAAAGCTGCGCCACGTGGTCGAACGTGCCGGTCGGTATCTCCGAAATGAGATTCTCGCCGAGGTCGAGGGTTCGCAGAAGGGGAGTGGCTTTCAGCGCGTCCGGAACGGACTTTAGCTGGTTACGGTTCAGATGGAACTCTTGCAGGGACGAGGCGTTTTTCAGGGAGCTCGGGTGTATCGTGTGCAGTCGGTTGTTGTCCAACGAGAGCAGATTCAGCACGTAGAGTCCGCTGAGCGTGGTCGCGTCGATAACGGTTAGCAAATTATAGCTGAGCAGCAAGGTGTGAAGATTATAGAGCGCGGAGAACGTGTTCTCCGGTAGACTCTCGAGTAGATTCTCCTGTAACCGGAGAATCTGTAAGCTGTAGAGATCGCGGAACACCGTCGGATCTAGCCGAGCGATACGATTGTTCGATAGATCGAGCACCACTAAACGTATCAAACCACCGAAGGTAGCCGCGTTCACCCACTCGGCGGTTAACTCGTTATGCGACAAATCGAGCACCAACAACTGCGTCAGTTCACTGAACAATCCCGGCGGCAGCACGTTCAACGTGTTATTCCTCAGATGAATCTCCTGGATGTTCCTCGCGTCGCTGAAGAGTTCGGGCGGCAGGCTGGCCAGCCGATTGTCCGCCAGCCTCAAGATGGCCAACGAGGAGAGGCCCTCGAACGCGCGGTCCGCCATGAAGCTGATGGCGTTGCACCGTAGATCGAGGCTGTGCAGCCTGGTCAGGCCGGAGAACGCGGCGGTCGGCAACGATTCGATGCTGTTGTTGCTCAGGTCCAGTTCCTTCAGGTTCGACAGGCATCTCGACGCGCCGTTGAACCTGAAACTCGTCACCTCGCGCAGTCGATTTCTCGTCAGGTTCAAGATCTCTAGATTGACCAGGGGGCACAGGGCGCCCTCCGGTATACTCCACATGTTGTTTTCCCCGAGATCCAATTTCTCCAGTTGCCTCAACTCGTCCGTGAACGCCCCGGCCGACACGTCCAGTGCCATCGCCGACCAGTCGGTGTTGTGCGTCCTCACGGTCAGATTACGCAACTCCTTCAACCCTTTGAACGCGTCGTCCGACAGATTACCGATCTTGCAATACTCGATCACCAGCTCGCGTAGCTCGACCAACGGCCTGAAGCTGCCGGCGCTCAGCGAGCTCTGATAGAACAACGCGTCGCTGCATTCCAGCCGTAGACGGACCGTGTGCTGCGGCTGTATCACGCTGAAATTCGTGTTCTCCAGCTCGCTGTTGATCGTCCTCAGACGGCAGACCAGCGAGACGTCGTCCTCGGTGTCGCCGCTCGCGACCCACTTGCATTCGTCCGGCGCTTTGTACCGGAGCGCCTTGCTCAGAGACGCGCCGAGGACACCGAATATCGTGCCCAGTAATATGGCGAAGAACGCAGGACTGCCCCGCATCTTTCCGCCCGTTCTCTTAATCTTCCATCAAATCTCTCTCGAGAGAGAAACGGAGAGAGCTCGCGAACGCTGTGTCCCAGGCCGATCTCCTCTATCTGTCGCGAAACCGGCCGCGATCCATTTAAGTCACGGATCCACCGATCTCTACCTCGCATCGTCCATGTCGCTTCTGTTTCCTCTTCTCTCTAGAAGCCTCGCATAATACGGTCCACGCTGCTGGTCCACGCTAGTTTAGCCTCGCGATTTCTCTAGATAGTCCTCTATATACGTATATATATATGTACGCGCGCGCGCGCGCGCGCGTGTGTGTGTGTATATATATATATATATTTATATTCTCAGAGCTGTGCCCGCTACACGAGGCGCTAGAGCTTTATAATCCTGGAGATTTCATCCTCGAGTAGTACGAGCGGGTGGTATTATATCCTGTATCGCGAACGATCTCGAGACACTGGCGAAACGTAACGCGCTTCGGGGTTCACCGACCTTTCGAGATTATCGATATACCTACTACTGCTACTACTACTGCTATTACTACCACTATTACTACTCTTTCTCTCTTTCTCTTTCTCCCTCTGTCTCTCTTTTTCTACTACTCCGGAGCGGAGAAGAAAAATCGTCGGACGACGAACGAAAAGTCACGGGCGTTGATACACGTATATACGGCTCCGGTAAGACCCACGGTTCTCCGAGGACTGGTTGGCAAGTTGTAAGGCCCGAACTGGCACCGCTACCCTCGCCCCTCCGCCCACCCTTGCCCGTTCTCCTCGCCGCCCTTCCCTTCCCGGCCGTCCTTCCTTCCCCCACCTTTACACCTTCTCTCCTCGTCGTCGTCGTCGTCGTCGTCGTCCGTAGCCGGGGCCCGACGTTCTGGCAAGCCTATAAAAACAAGACAGGTACACTCTCTGGGCCCTTACAGTGGCTCCTCAGCATCTGCAGCCTCCATCCACCACGTCCACGTCGTTTCCTCGTCCCACCCTACGGGATTCTGTTAGCTCGGTCCTCGTCCCGCGCGTTTCGTAGCCTCCTCGCCCCCTCCTCGTCTCGTCTTCCCCTGGCTATGGCTCTGGCTCCTTCTCTTGCTCTTCCTTTGCCCCTTTCTCTCTATCGTTCGGCCGTATTGCCGTTCGATTCGTCCGTGAAACCTTGCCTCACCGTCATCTGTTCTCACATCGTTTCTACGATTCTGTCACGAAGAATGAAACCTCGAAAAAGAATGTTCGCTCGATGCCTTTGTGCGAATCCCGTTCCCATTCGCATTCCACGTTGTCGCGAGTCCACGGGCTAGTGTATTTTGCAACTAGCCGTTCGTCTCTCCTCTTCTCTGTCCACACCTCTTCGTGCGCCTCTCCTTCGTCCACTCTCCTTTCCTCTCCATTTACAATCCGCGCGATATCGTCGTCGCGTTCCACGCTCGGGATACGTCGCTCTCTTTCTCTCTCTCTCTCTCTCTCTCTCTCTCTCTCTCTCTCTCTTCGCCTCTCTTTCCAGCGGATTTTCGGCGCCTCTGTTTTTCGCGAAATGGAAAATTTTTCTGCTTTTCGTACAAGACGAGATTCGAGGATAATTTGCGCGCGCGATGAAAGGGAGAATAATCTCGGACGCGAGGAGGGTACGAGCGCGAGCGAGGCTTCCTTCGTAACCCCTCGGATCGTGCTTGGTTCCGGGGTATCTCGTAAAAATCGCGGATGATCGGCGATGCAGCGAGAAGCAAAGAAAGCCGAGGAGTAGAGACGAGAGCGCGTGCACACGTGTTAAGAAAGGGGACTCGGGAGGGAAAAAAGGACGGCGGAGAGGAAGCAAAAATGGAGGGAAGGGTGCAAAAGCGTGTGTCACGTTGAATGGGGTGCGTGTGGCTCTTTTTGTAAAAGTAGCAAGTGAAATACTTTCCTTTCACTCGCGTTTTCCGCTGCGTCATTATTAGCTTTATGGTCTGTTTGGGATTCGCGCATTCCCGGTCCCATTGAGTGTAAAACGATCGGACGCATTGTGTCAGGAATCGTGTGTTAGGGACACGTCAAGTGGTTCCCCACAGAGAGAGAGAAGTCCGCCTCCTTTCAGAAAACAGTGCTCGGTAGCTTCCATCTCCCGTCGTTGAAAAGTGATTTGTTACCTTTACCTGGGCCAGAGCAGGGGCCCGCATTGGCAGGCTGCCCTCTCGGATACTTGGTCGTTCCACCGCTTGATTTACTCATCGAAATTCAAATAGGAGGATACATCATTTTCATCGGCCCAATAAAAGTATCATTAGTAAAATGAATGCCGCTGCCCGGCCTCGATTCGTTCCAGTTCCATCCTCGTCTTCCCGCGTCTCTCTTGTTTCGCCGTTCCTCGTACCGTTCGAGAAGAAGAAAGATCTCGCGGAGATGCTGTCGGCGAGCAACGACGCGCAGTTCGCGAACGTTTCGGGAAGAAAACGGGGGACGAGGGATCGGTAATTACGCGGAGGGTGGAGGGAGGCAGCCGCGAAATAACGGATAGCGCGCATTGTCGTTAATAGCAGCGGGGAGAATAAATCGTACCGGTGGAAGTGAATCTCTCGCGGTTCGTGTATTTTATCGTCCGGTTTCATTGATCCTTATTACAAGATCTTTACCAAGGCCGCGGGCTTAAATCGGTATAATATTTCACCTTTCCGCAACGGTCGTCTCTCCTGCCGCGGTAATATCGTCGATGGGCTGCGTTTTAGTCATCGGGTATCCGGTGTTTCGCGAATTAATCGGGTATCACACGTTTCACCGGCGAAAGTGCGACGAATCCGGCGCCTCTCTCTCCCTCGATCGTCTCTCATTTACATGGGAGACCCCGAGCATTCTTCTAGGAAAAAGTGTCTCTCTTCCGCGTAGACCGGTCGAGATCTCTGAACTGTGACACCGATTCCGAGATCAAGAGGAATCCGAATTCCCGCTTGCTCTCGAGGTCGCCGCGTGATGAAATTCGAGAAAGAAAGAGCGAGAGAGAGAGAGAGAGATAGAGAGAGAGAGGAGTGGGGGAAGAGGGAGTATCGCGATCCGAAATGCGTTTAATTGCACCATAGAATGGTATAATCGGTTCGCGAACCATCCCTTTTCCACTCGTAGCCGGGGTTCCACGATATCGAGGATATTCGCGGAGATTACGGTGCAGGCTTGGATAATTCGCCGGAATCCTTTAGGCAAAGGGCGTTGCGCAATCTCGAGCCAGTTCCGAGCCACGAAAAGAATGGATTCCCATGATTTCTCCGGGAACCGGCGATCCACGCCACTTTTTTTCCCCGGTTGTCGGCTTTGATTAGCGAAGCGATGTGAATGAGCCTTAAGAAGGAGGATGCCCCGATGGCTGCGCCGCTGAAAGGTGGCTAGCTGGCGGCTGGGATCGGCGAAAGCGGTCAGTGATCGCTGGGGCCTCATGCTCGGGCCCCTCGTTGCTCACGATCGTCTCCCACTCTCTTCCCCTCCCTGCCGCCCTTCCCTCCACTCTCCCGCTCGCCTCCCCTCCTGCCGCCCCATCCCCCCGGTCGGTCCCGGCATTCTCCTCCTACCTTCGGCTCGAACGCCCCACCAGCCCGCCCCTGGGCCTAGTCTCCTTTCAACGGTGCAGGTGACGGGGCATTCTTTTAAATCTAATCAACTACCGAACCTCGGCCCGATGTATACAGGGTGTTACCGAACTGGCCGGCCTGACAGCATCCTTAAAAATAGGATACCGGTCGAGTCCTGACAAGGTGTCCACTTATCGAGCCGGCCAAGGTGGCCGCGTGTAATTCATGGGTTCAGAGGGAAGAGAAGAGGCGCGCTGCTCCTGCCCGCGTTGCTTCTCTCCTTCGAGACTTCCCCGCTAAGGCTTCTCTCCTCTCTCTCTCTCTCTCTCTCTTTCTCTTTCTCTTTCTCTCTCTCCGTCTCTCTTTCGCGCGCGCGCGCGCGCGTCGTTCGATTCTCCTCCGTTCGATTTTCGACGCGTTTAAGGGCAGTCGAGTTCCAGTTACGAAATCCTCTCCGGCACAGGAAATCGACGCCCGAGATCGATCGTACCTCTCGCGGAGAGGTTAAACGGTCGACGAAATAAAACGCTCTCCACCGTCGGCCCGATCTGTTCAACGAGACTTCATCGCGATGTGGTTTCACCGAAGGTTTTATGGGCTTTCTTTGACCGACGGGGTGAAACGTTCAGGCAATTGCTCCTTAGAGAGAAAATTGCCCCGCGATGCAACCCAGGTGGAAACTGCGCGTTTCTTGCCGCCACGTGATACGCTAGGGCTCGCGCGCACCACCAGGCCACCCTGTATATATCGTCCATGCGATATGGCTGCCACCACCACCACCACCACCGCGCGGCACACGCGACCACCGAGAACCAACGAGACTTGCGTTCATTGAACACAGAGACACGAGCGTTTTCGCGCCTGCCGCGAGATCACGCGTGCACCCGAGTCCGAAATGGAGCGATTTCCTCCCGTTTTCCCCGTGACACGAACCCCAGGCTGGCGCAACGTCGCTGCTCATTAGCTCGACGACCGGAGAATCGATCAAACGTGTCGGGATCGTGGCGCACAATGCCACGCGAAACTACCGGATTCCGATCGTCCCTTTACCGGTTTGATAAAGACAGATGCGCGACGATAATTCACCTGGTCCCCGCGAACCGCGTAATTTATTAATCCGGAATGCAACTTCGACAGCCGGCACTGAATAGCCCCGGAGATAGCGTCCGACGACCGCGAGGAGGGGACATTGAAAAATGCGGAATCTTTCACGGTGATTCGACGAGAAATATACGTCTGCTCCGTGAGTCGGACGTCGGTGTCGCCCGGGAGATCGAGTCGTCCGTTGGGCCCGATCGGTCCCGACCTCACCGACGCTTTTAATGAACGTATCGCGCGTCGATCGGTTACCCAATTCGCGCGATCGCGTACCATCCTCCTGCTCGACGTTGTCCTTTTGTCAGGGTAATCGAAGGTTAGCGCGAACGGTACCCCGATGCACGCCGACTGGCCACACGCGAGCCGTGGACCTGTTTCGCGT